AACTCAGAATACCTTCAATATATAATTGGACATATATATTAGTCATATATATATAATTATAAGACAAAAGAGTAAAACCTGAGTTGAGGATTTTTATGACATAGCTATGAAATTTGAAATTTCTCTAAATAACCTCTTAGATTATGAAAGGCCCTTTTGCTTACAAATAGACAAATGTGATTATTTCATTTTGTCATGTAAACTAGCTGCATCAGTCTCCATGGAAAAATTACTCAACATTAGCTTCAGTTTCTTTATTAGTAAAATGAGGACAATACTGGGCTCTCTCATAGGTTTATCATAAATAATAATCTGCTACGTAAATGCTTACTAAATCCTTGTTATAGTATTTGCAATTTTTCTATAGAATATGCGATCTTTTTCATTGATATGGTCCAAATCAACCAACTTAATGTCAAAAACCTACTAGGAAGCCACATCCATAAAATTTTTCCACATACCCTAGGACACACCCCTAAAAAAAGAGAGTTGATGATTTGTTAACTTGAGCAAAGCTATGCTACAATAAAATAAGGTTGCCTCTTCTTGGTAATAAAAACAGCATTTTCAGTGTATCCTTGAAACTAAAACAAGTATTATACAAACTACAATGCTAGTTATAGTGCATCTTCGTAATTTAAGCTAATTGTTGTAGCTCTTGTCTTTTGGTAGAATTACAGAAAGAATGATTTGGAAAGTATTCTTTTAATCTGTGCTATCAGCAAATCCTATAGAGATCACCAACAAGTCTATTTTCAATTTTTGCACACTGAAGTATAACAGGTTCTTTTAACAAAAACAATCATGAAAAAAATTATTAAACTACAAAAGCAGTCCTATAGAAAAAATAAAGGTTTAAAATGATTAAAAACAATCACTTTAGACTTCAATATTGCATACAGATATTGGTACATTATGTGAAAAATTCTTACGAAATGGTTGCATTAATGAGATTTTTATCAATTGTACTAAATATTAAAAAAAAACCAAACCAAGAAAGCCTTGCTAAATTTATAAAAATTCTTACAATGTTGATTCTATACTGATCAGAAAACAAAAAGGTTACTTTTTAATGGATTCAGTATTCCAAAGGAAGGCCTCATTAATATTGTAATTTAATATAGTTTCATCTTAATGTTAATCACTGGGGCTAAAGTTAGGTTAATCCCTCAGATATAAGCCAGTACCTTTGTGAGAAGTCAAGGCTCAGCTCCCATAACACCTCCTGTGGGAAACCTTTCCAGGTGTCCCCAGCTGGTAATACTCTCTCTTATCTTCAAATAATCATGTATACTTGTACATTGACATGTTTTATGCCACTAGTAGGATGCCAACTTCTTCGGGTAGGGCCTCTTTTTTCATTTGTTTGCCTTTGTATCCCTAGCACTTTGTTGTTGTTGCTGTTGTTATGCAGTCATATCAGTCCAACTGAACAACCATAACTGTTGTTCAGTTGTGTCCAACTCTCTGTGATCCCATTTGGGGTTTTCTGGGCAAAAATACTGGAGTGGTTTGCCATTTCCTTCTCTGGCTCATTGCACAGGTGAGGAACTAAGGCAAACAGGGTTAAGTGACTTTCCAAGGGTCACATAGCTAGTATCTGAGGCCAGATTTGAACTCAGGAAGATGAGTCTTCCTGAGTCCAGGCCAGGCACCCTATTCATTGCGCCACTTAGCACTTAAGTCAGGAAAGACCTGGGTTCAAGTATAATCTCTGAGACTTACTAACTATACAACCATGAAAAAGTCACTTAATCTTTTAATTTACCAGGCAATTCTCTAACATTGTAAAGTACAGAATACGTGCTGATCTGAATTGGTGGAGGCAGTTCCCTCACTAAGAGCTCCTTACACCAGTGAAATCGCTTGCTGCTGGCTGCTGTTTGTCCTTCATTCTCCAAGAGGACCATGACATCAGGGAAGTGATGCCATGACTTGCAAATGAATTGGATTTAATTGAGGGAGGGCTGTGCAAAGTCACCAGCCTCACTTTCTCCTCTGGAGTCATCTGGGTCCAGCGGCCAGATATGGATCAGGACAACTGGAGATGACCCAGGATGCAGTGGGGGACCTTGGCCTTTTCAAGCTAGGGGCTTCAACAGGTCTCAGTTTGACTGAGGTAGAGCCCAGTCCAGTTCAAAAGACTGAAAAAAAAAAGCTCCAACATGTAACAGGGCATCTAAGCATACAACAAGGATAAAGAACAGACCTAGGATTTCATAGGTGATAGGGAAATTCAAGGGTAAGCAAACTCCCTTGGCTAATGCCAGCCAGCAAACACAGGCCTTCCTGGCTTTTGGGCCACTAATATATTTTTTCCACTATACCAAACTGTCACTGTATTCAGCAGATGCTTAATATTCATCGGATTGGAAAGAACTGGGTAATGCCCACTCAGCTGGCAAGACTGAAAGGAAGCATTATTTTAGAACCATGAATACCTCCATCTATACATAAATCAGGAGCTCAGAGGCCATCTGGCCCAACCCCACCCCAACCTTTCTCATTTTATAGATAAGGAAACTGAGGCCCCAGAAGGTTAAAGTAATAGCTAACATTTCTACAGTGTCTTAAGATTTGCAAAGCATTTTGTACATACTATGTCATTTGAACTTCACAACAACCCTATAAGGTAGAAGCTAATCATCCACATTTTACATATAGGGAAACTGGGGTGTATAGAAGTTTAGTGACTTGTTCAAGGTCACAAAAGTGACCATCATCAGAATTAGAATTTGAATGCAGATCTTCTGAATTCAAGGTCAGTGTTCTAGAAAGGTCAAATACAAAGGCATGGAAAATTGAAGAGGAAGTATTCATTTAGCTGGGGGCTCAAGAGGTTTCACAGAGAAAGGGGCATTAGCAGGGATTTCAGCAAGCTGATGTATGGAAAAATTTCATTCTAGCCAATAAGAATGGCACATACAAATGGGAAGTTAGAAAAGCACAAAATAAGATGAGGAAAATAACTGAACATTCCATTTAAATGAATGTAGAATGTGCATTCTATCCACTATGCTAACTAGCTGCCCATCTACTCAATAACTGAAAAGGTGGAATAGAGACAGATCATGAAGGGCTTTGAATGCTGGAGCAAAGAGTTTGTATTCTATCCAGTAGGTTATAGGGTACCACTGAAGATTTTGAAGGAGGGGAATTACCAGACCAGGCTGGTAAATTAGAGAGATTTAATTTGGATTAAATTTTTGTTGTGGATAATCAATAATTGATTACACAGAAAAATCTCATTTTTACAAAAGAGGTCACAAAAGTCATTCTATAAAACTGAAGTTGGCAACATACACAAGAGCACACTAAAAAGCATATATATATACACACATATTAAAAACTTAAAATCTAATTTTTGGAATCTAATTATAGCTGAAATTTGTACAATTATTTATAACAGTGATTACAGTCACCATTCAAATTTCTTATCTACTGGAATAAGGTTAGGGAACAATTTCACAGATTTTTCTTCTTATATACCAGAAAAGTCAGTTAAACAAAACAAAAAGATAAAAATATTAAGAAATCAAATAAGAGATATGAGAGAGCATCTCTTCCCAATCCTTTATAGAGGTCAGAGGTCACCCTTCCTATTTTTCTTTTTTTCAAAACAATTCTATGTAATAACGGATGGCTCTCCAGAAGATGAGGGGTAGGCATACAAGGGGAAATTCAGGTGATTTAAGAGCAAACGTTATCAATAAAAATTAATTTTTAAAAAAGAAATCAAATGGATGGCTTTTGAGAATCAGTCCAGTTTAACAGATATTATCAGATCAATTCAAAATTTTCTTTAATGAAAAATTCAGTAGAATACTAATAAAAGTTAAGTTAACCTCTAAAAATCAAACTTTTTTTTTAAATCAGGCTTTTTGGCAGGGATAGTCAAAATGTGGACTAATAAAAAGAGAAGTATCAGTAAGACTGACAAGCACTGAATCAGCCTCCAGGAGACCTGCCATTGAGTTAATTTTGAGATCTCCTGGAGAGTTAGTCAGGGTCCGTCTAGTCCAACCCCACTCCCACCTTCCTCATTTTACAGATAAGGAAACTGAGGCCCCTGAAGGTTAAAGTAATAGCTAACATTTCTATAGAGAATTAAGATTTGAGTTAATTTTGATTGAGTTAATTTTGAGATCTGAAGCAAATCATTTAACTTCTCTGGTCTGTTCCCTCATCTCTCAAATGAAGGGTCTTCAAGGTCCTTTCTAAAACTCAAAATTTAGGAACCTCCAAGTGCCCGCGCTTTCTCTCCTCGTCATTTCAATTTGATTTCTTAAACTAATACCAATTTTACTCTTTCAATGTAGCCAAAGTCTCCAGGCTCTAAGCCCAGCACTGTTGTACCTTCAGGAAGGCTCGAGGGGTGCCCGAGGGCTGTGGGCTGCGGCCCCGGGCCTGCCCCCGGGAAGGGTTCGGCTCCGCTCCCTCCGCTCCGGCCGGGCCGAGCATCCACCTGGGCAGGTCTGCGGGAGGTCACGTGGCAGCGTGTCGGGACAGACGCCGTCACCGCCCCGACGAGCGACAAGCGACAAGCGCTGCGATAACGGATCCGGATCCGGAGCTGAACCCGGAGCCTGCGGAAAATCCTCTTGGTCCAGCCCAGAGGAGGGGCTGCCTGGGCCACATTTAAAATAAAAACCGCTTAAACAGGGGGGTCCTAACCTTTTCGGAGTCCAGGCAGCCCGCGGCCCCTGGCGAAGTCCATCGGAAGGATGTTTTTAAATGCACATTTAAATTAGATTAGAGAAAGAAACAATTCTGTAGGATAATGTGGACTTTGTTCCCACCGCACCCCCACCACACCCTCAAAGTCCACCGACCCCGGGTTTAAGACGCCCTGTTTGAATCCCAAGGCGCGGAGCCCCCGGCCCGGCGTTCACCCGCAGCACCCCCTCCCCATGCCCCAGGCCTCCCCCGGCCTGGGGAGGGAAGGAGGCCGAGGCCGGGGCCGGGGCCGTGGAGCCCCAAGTCCCAGGATTCGTCCTCACCTCCTCGGCTGGGGCCTGCTCTCTCACCCGCGGTGTCCGTACCGGCAGTCCGGGCTCCCGGCCGGCCAGGGCAGGAGGGGCGGGGCGGAGCGAGGAGCGAGCCGCCGCCAGAGCCCGAGGACAAGCGGCCCCCTCCTCCAGCATCCCTCTCCCAGGTGAGGCAGTTCTGCGAGAGCGGGAAGTGGCCGTGGCTGCCGTGGCACCCCCCCCCCCCCCCGGGAAACAGAATCCAAGCACGAGCCTGGGGGCGGGGGGGGAGGCGGGAAAGGAGGGAGGGGGTCGCTCCTGCTAACCCCGCCCCTTTGGGCGTGGCCGAGGAGGAGGCGGAGTCAAGATGGCGGGAGTAGGAGGGAGCTCGTGAGCCTGGCTGACCACTGCACTCCACGGCCACTGGGAGAGCGAACCAGTGAGAGTTTTGGGGGGGCAGCCAGGGGAAGGTCACAGTGAGTCATTTTTCCAGCAGGGGTTGGGGGGGTTGGGGCACGGCAGATGCCAGGAACATGTCGGGAGCCTTCCAGTGCCAGGGATGGAAAGATACAGGGTACCAGCGTGGAAAAAGAGGCCGAGGGTTTCCTGAACCACTGAGTGCTGGGTGTAGAAAAGGAACGCCACCAGCCACTCCCCAGCTATGTACTGAGCACAGAACAAGTTCTGAAACAGAGCTTTGAGCCCAGAAGCAGAGCAGTCACTCGGTCTAGTGTTTGGCCCATTGGCCAAGCCTGTAGGGAAATAACTAGTAGAGGAATTCCAGACCAAGGTGGGGAGGTGGGGGGTGGCAGGAGAGGGAGCAGTTCTATGGTTCAGAGCCTACAGAACCTGCCACTGGGCTAATAGTAACAGTCCAGCAGCATGAAACTGTCCATCTGGCACAAGCCAATCTACCCAAACCTGGGTCTGGAACTTGCAGACCTCAGGTGAGGAGGCCAGTGAACAGACCTCTCTCCCTAGGTCACACGATTCTGGCAACACAGAAAACTTGAAGACCCAGCTGGGGAAGCGGCAGTAGGTAAAAGGGCTGAAACTTTAGGCCAGATATCTCAGTCCATCCACCTCCCCTCAACCCCCCCAAGTGTGCAGCACTAACTTAAAGTTCAAACTCAAGAAGCCATCTATGAGAATTAGCAAACAAACAAAATAAAACCCTTCCTTAAAGAGCTACACTGGTGACTGGGAAGTTCAAGAAGAAAACATCTCTAAGCAGAGCCTCAAAGAAAAATGCAGATTGGACACAAAGCCAAAGAATGGTGGAAAAGATGGAAAAAGAAATCAGAGCTATCCAAAAAAGAGATTAAAAGATCATTAGAAGCTTAGAAAGTGATGTACAAAATCTTATTTTAAAAAATGACTCCTTGAAAATTAGAATTGGCCAAGGGGAAGCTAATGACTCCATGAGACATCAAGAAATATAATAAAACAAAGTCAAAAGTCTGGAGAAAAAAAAAGATATGAAATATTTCAAAGGAAGACCAACTGACCTAGAAAACAGGTTGAGGGAACAATTTAAGAAACATCAGGCTACTTAAAACACATGAACAAAAAAAGAGCCTAGACATATTTCAATAAATCATAAAAGAAAACTGCCCAGATACCTTAGAACCAGAAGGCAAAGTAGAAATTGAACAAATCTATCAGTCATGTCCTGAAAGAAACTCCAAAATGAAAACTCCCAGAAATATCATAAGATCCAGAGTTCCCAGGTAAGGGAAAAAATGCCATAAGCAGCCATAAAGAAAGAATTCAAGTAACAAGGAGCCATAGTCAGGATTACATTAGATTTAGCAGCCTTCACTATAAGGAAGCAGAGAAACCAGAATATGATATTACAGAAGGCAAAGGATCTAGGTTTACAATCAAGAATAACCTATCCATCAAAACTGAGTATAATCCTACAAGGAGAAAATTGGAGCAAGAAATGATAAGAAGTTAAACAAGGTTAAAATGTTTGTGTTCTTATATGGGAACATAATATATGTAATTCCTCAGAACTTTGTCATCACTAGGTATCTTAGAGGGAGTCCAATTAGACAATGGGCCTGGGTATAATTCTATTATGTTTAAATAATCTCAAAAAAAGAATTCAAGGGTAGGGAAGAATTAATGCACTGAGAGTAGGAGAAGGGAGAGGAAGAATGGGGGAAATTATTTCACATAAATGGAGCGTACAACCGAGGGGGCAGTTGGAGGGGAGTGGGAGATAATGGAATCACACTCTCATCTGAAATGGTTAAAGGAGCTAAGAATACACACATACACACATTTGAGTATAGAAATGCTTCTTGCCTAACAGGGAAATTCAGAGGGAAAGGGGTAATGGAAGGAGGAGGAGTAAGAGGGACGCAGTAGTCAGAAGCAAAACAGACTCTTTAGGGGGGAAAAGATTTTTTAAAAAAGGAAGGAAAAGTATAAGAAAATATGACAGAGGGAAATACAGAGTTAGCAATCATAACTGTGAATGGGAATGGGATGAACTCACTGTTAAAACAGAAGAGGATAGCAGAATGGATTAGAAACAAGAGTCTACAAAAAAGAAAGAAAGAAGAATGTAACAGTATGTTGTTTAAAACAAGAAACATTTGAAAAAGAAGGATACACACAGAGTTAGAATAAGGGGCTAGAACAGAATTTATTACACTTTGACTGAAGTAAAAAAAGGCAGGGGTAGCAATAATGATCTCAGACAAAGCAAAAGCAAAAATAGATCTAATCAAAAGATAAATAGAGAAACTACAAAGGCACCAGAAACAATGAATCAATATCAATACTAAACATATATGTGCCAAATGGCATAGGATTTAAATTCTTAAAGGAAAAGTTACATGACAGTAAAACTATTAAGAGTGAGGTAACCCAATTTACTTTTCTCAGACTTGGATAAATCTAACTATAAAATGAAAGACGTTAGAATTTTAATAGAATTTTAGAAAATTTAGATATGATAGATCTCTGGAGAATATTGAACGGGAATAGAAAGGAACATACCTATTCTTAGCTGTGTATGGCACCATCAAATAAATTGACCATTAGGACATTAAAACCTCACAAATATATGCAGAAAAAGTAAATTCATCTTTTACTGAACATAATACAATAAAAATTATAATAAATGAACCTTTGAAAGAAAAGATTAAAAATTAATTGTAAACTAAACATTCCTTTTTTTAATTTTAAACTTTTTGGGGGGGGGTGAGACAATCGGGGTTAAGTGACTTGCCCAGGGTCACACAGCTAGATGTTTCAAGTGTCTGAGGCCAGATTTGAACTCAGGTCCTCCTGACTCCAAGGCTGGAGCTCTATCTATTGTGCCACCCAGCTGCCCCCTAAACTAAATATTCCTAAAGAATGAGTGGATCAAAAAACAAATCATAGAAAAAAATCTGTAATTTTATTAAAGATAATGACAACAATGAGGCAGCATATCAAAATTTATGGGATATAGCCAAAGCAGTACTTGGAAATTTTATATCTCTAAATACACATCAAAAAAGGAGAAAAAGAACAGATCAACAAATTGGTAAAGCAACTAAAAAATTAGAAAACCAACAAATTAAAAAACAAAATATAAATCCAGAAAATCTAAGGAAAGATTAACAAAATCATAAGGGAAAAAAGATTTTAAAACTAGGAGTTTGGTTTTTAGAGAACAAAATAATAAAGCATAGGCTATTAGTTAATTTGATTTTTTTTTAAAAAGAAACCAAATTACCAGTATCAAAAATGAAAAAGGTAAGTTCACAACTAAGAAGAAGAAATAAAAGCATTTATTAGGAGATATTTTGCCCAATTATATGCCAATAAAACTGACAATCTAAATGAAATGGAAGAATATTTACAAAAATATAAACTGCCCAGATTCACAGAACAAGAGAAAGAATCCTTAAGTAGGCCTATTTTAGAAAAAAAAATTGAGCAAGCCATAAATAAACTCCCAAAGGGGAAAAAAAAAAAACAAAAACAGGACCAGATGTATTTATGAGCAAATTCTACCAAACATTTAAAGAAAAACTAATTCCAATATTATGTAAGCTGTTTTTAAAAACAGGTAAAGAAGGGTCCTAAAAACAATAAAAATTAAATGGTCATTTTAATAGATGCAGAAAAAAACTTTTTTTAAACAGAATATAGCACCCATTCCTATTTAAAAAAAACACTAGAAAGTTTAGGAATAAACAGAGCTTTCCTTAAAATGATAATATCTATTTAAAATCAAGAGGTAGCATTATACGTAATAGGGATAAGCTAGAAGCCTTTCTAATAAGATCAAGAGTGAAATAAGTATATCCATTTATCACCATTACTATTCAGTATTTTATTAGAAATGCTATCCATAACAATAAGACAAAAACAAGTAATAAGCATGGGCAAAGAGGAAACAAAACTCAGTTTTTGCAGATGATATGATGATTTACTTAGAACTCTAGAGAGTAAATAAAAAAGTAACAAACAACAACATCAGCAAAACTGCAGGATATAAAACACACTCACAGAAATCATTTGCATTTTTGTATATTACTATCAAAATCCAGTAGGAAGAGAGAGAAATTCCATTTAAAATAACTAAACACAGCATAAAACACCTGCCAAGACACACGCAGGAATCATATAAAAGGAATTACAGAACACATAAGGTAGATCCAAATAAATGAGAAATAATAATTGATCATGGGTAGGCCTAGCCAATATAATAAAAATGACACTCCTCAAATTAATTTCCTTATTCAATTCCATACCAATCAGACTATCAAAACACTACTTTACAGACCTAGAAAAAATAAAATTCATCTGAAGGAACAAAAGGTTGAGAATATTAAGGGAAAGAATGAAAAAAAGAAAAGCAAGGGGGCCTGGAATAGGGACAAAAATGGCAAGGAAGTACCTAATCTTAATGACCTAAACAATTTGGTATCGGGTAACAATTTGGTTCTAGGTTGACTAGGTACAATAACCTAGTGTTTGGTAAACCCAAAGATGCCAGCCATGGGGGACAAGTACTCACTATTAAACAAATTGTTGGGGAAAGTAAAAAACAGTGGCAAAAACTAGGTTTAGACTAACATGTCACATTGTATACTAAAATAAGCTCAAAATGGATACATGATGTAGACATAAAGGGTGACATCATAAGCAAATTAGAGGACCATGGAAGAAATTACCTATCCGATGTATGGATAGAGGAAGAGTTCATGACCAGACAAGAGATAGGGAGGTTATCAGGAGGTAAAATGGATAATTTTGATTACATAAAATTAAAAAGATTTTGTACAAACAAAACCAGTAAAGCTAAAATTAGAAGAGAAGTGGGAAACTAAGAAAATATTTTTGCAGCAAGTTTCTCATTTCTAAGATATATAGGGAACTGAGGCAAATTTATAAGACTAAGCCATTCCCCAATTGATAAATGGTCAGGTTATGGAAAAGGCAGTTTTCAGAGGATAAAATCCAAACTATCAACAGCTATATGAAAAAATTCTCTAAATCACTAATAATTAGATAAGTGCAAATTAACACAACTCTTAGGAAACCCTGCATCCCCATTAGATTGGCAAAATGGACACAAAAGAAAATGACATGATGGAGAAGCTGTGGGAAAACAGGTATTTTAATGCACTTTTGGTGGAATTGTAAACTGGTCTAGCCATTCTGGAAAGTAATTTGGAATTATACTCAAAAAGGTATTAAATTGCCCTTACCCTTTGACCCAGTGATACCAAAGAAAGAGGGAAGGACCCATATGTACAAAAATATTTATAGTGGCCCTTCTTGTTATATGGTAAAGAACTGGAAACTAAGTGGATGAGGAATGGCTGACCAAGTTATAGTTTACTGAATATGACGGAAAATTATTGTGCTGTCAGTCCTGATGAAAGGGATGTATGTTTTTAGAAAAACCTGGGAAGATTTGTATGAATTGAGGCAGAGTGAAATGAGCAGAACCAGAACCGTTTGTACAATAATATTGTAAAAATGTTCAACTCTGAAAGACTAAGTAGTACAGTGACCCACCACAATATCAAAGAACTCATGATAAAACATTCCATCTACCTCCAGATATAGAAGTGATGGACTCGAGTGCAGAACAAAACATATTTTCTTTACCTACCTTTTTTTGCACTTGGTTATCGAGGGAATAGGTTTTGCAAGACCATAGATACTGTAATGGCTTTGACTTTCTTGCTTCTCAGTAGGTGGGGGAGGGGGAAGATTGAAGGAAAGAATTTGGAACTGAAAATAAAATAAAATTGAATTTTAAAAAGTAGCCCTGTTCAGTTATAGGATGGTCTAGGGGTCATCACTGAGGTCCTTGCCATCTATGAGGTTTAAGGAAAATTAGCACTTTTCTTCAACTATATTTTAAGAGTATAAATAGAAGTGATAATTTTGTTTGTAGACCTGAGTGTTTGTAAAGAAAGGTCCCTGGGCACTTTGCCCACATTTTACGATTTAGGATAAATTTTCCTTTGTTTCTGAAGTTACTACTTTATTGTAAAATGTTTCATAAAGTTAAAAAAAAAATAAAGTGTTTGGCTGGTGCTTGAGTAGAAGGCGCCCAGTACCTTTGGGCCCTGTAGTCTCCAGAAGGATCTCAGTCTCGCTCAGCCACAGCGGCCACAGTAGGTGCGGAGCATGTCGGGAATTGTAGTCCTGGCCTCCCCTCCCCCCACACTCTACTCGCCCCAGGGTCTCCACATTCCGCAAGTTCCCCTTCTAGGACTACGCACGCGGTGCCCTTACGATCTCGGGGAGAGCGAGAGATGCTCACAGAGCCCGATAAAACGCCCCTTCCATCTGGGGCTGCTAAGCTCGAGCCCCGTTTTCATAGCACCGTCCCCCCCGAAGTGACCCAGCATATTTTGAGGGCCGCAGACTGACTGCAGCGGCCCGAGGAGTCTCGGCCTCCGCGCCTCCGCTGGCGGGAGGGGGAGGGGTGGGGTGGAGGGGAGGCTACGCCTGCGCGGAAGGCGCTAGCTGCGAGTCGCCGGGCGGAGATGTTGGGGCTGGGCGCTGATGTTAAAATGGTAGGTGGACCCCGCGTCGCCCCCTGCTGCGGATGTCCTCGCACCTTATCTGTTATCTCCCTGCTTTCCCTTCCTTCGGGAGATCGCGGCGAGGGTGGAGCTGGGGTTGCCGTCGGGAGCGGTGAGGAGAGCGGAGGAGAGGAGGAAAGGTCATCGGGGGGGGCGCTCTGCCGGCGGAGGGGAGGGGCGGGGGGGGCCCTCGGGCTGGAGAAGTGAGACCTGACACCGGCCGCTGCCTTCGCCTTTTTTGGCCTTCGGTTTTCCCCCCCGGGCTGGTTGGACAGCTCCCCGCCCCTCCCCCGTGGGGTCTCCTTGCTCTCGGGCTCCGAGGGGCGAGAGTCGGAGCCTTTGCCAGACCTTTGAAGTGCCCGGTGGCTACGGCGTTTGCTCAGTCTCCTGTTTGTTGGGTTAGAGGGTTGTGCTTGGCGCGGAGGTGAGTGGGTGGGGAGGCTGCTGCCTTGGAGGTGTGTGTGTAGAAAATTATGGAAGATGTAGTAGGCTATATAGTATATATGTATATAATACTGTATGTGTGTATGCATGTATATATGTACATATAATATATGTATGTGTATATATATTTATATATGAGCAAAACTATCTGGTGGCTCTCACCCCTCTCCAATTGTAAATTGTATTGCATCTACTTAATTCTACTCTTCTTCCCCTCCTCTCCATATACTTGTTAGCTCACTTAAATACTTTTTATTTATTGCAGTTAGAACCTTTAGATCTCTTAAGTACCATCTAAAAAGAAGGAAAAAAATCCTTTGCCCCCTTGGCTAATCCTTGCCTCCACGCTCCAAATTTGTTAAATCAGTGCTCTGTAGGAATGGGGGAAATCTGACGCCTGTTTGATTAAAAAGAAAAGAAGCTGGTGTACAAATAGATAGTAATTTTGATCCATTTTCTGGGCAATAGCACAACTGAAAAGCCTAGATAAAGTGCTAAAGGGAAGTAAAGTGATTTAAATGGCGTTAGACCATCGGTTTCCAAAGATTGCACACTGGGATTTTTCTTAGTGTGTACCTCCTTTTATTGCGAATACGTTTCATTATGAAAAGTTATATGAAATGAATGAAAAGTATGTGAAATGGATCATTTTAAGTCAGGTCATTGTGAAACAGAAGTTTTGCTAGTTAAAAATCTTGTGAACCTTTTGTAAAGCATATAATCTTTCTCCATTTATCTTTTCTATAAATCAAGGTTTTTCATTTATAGAATATACTTGGAGTGATTTATGCCTGGAATATCTAAAGAAATAAATGATGACACACTCTTTTTGGGTCACATATTGTGTTTTTTGAGGTAGTGCATATGACTAAAAGAATCATCACTTTAATGAAAATTATCCAACAGGTTGTTGGATTTGTTCAGTTTAGTTGTTCAATTTGCTGAACTGTGTAATTAAGCCTAACAGAGAATTTTCGGTGATGTCCTATTTTACTTAAGTGGCTTAGACTATTTTAAGTACTTATACTAAAGACAATCTGTTGCATTTTTTTTTCATGGAAAGTTTTGATATACAGAAAAGTTAAGTGGACTGGACAAGGTTATATAGTTCTGTTTGCAGGATCAAATCTATTGACTATTTTCAAATCTATTCACTATTTTCAAGAATTTTGTGCTGTCTCTTATCTTAGTATCACAGATTTAGCCATGGAAGGGAAACCTTAAAAGTCAGTCATCTACACCACCTTGCTCATTTTAGAGATGAAGAGCACTGAGGCTTAGAAGAGAAATGACTTCGTTAAGGTCATATAGGTGGTAGGTAGCAGGGCCTTGTCCTAGAATTCAGTAGAGTGACAAAACATTATTGTGGGAAATGGGCTGCTTACAATTAAAAAAAAAAGTTTCTAAATGTCTACTTTCTGGGCCATGATTATATTAGCTGACATATATAACTTTAAATGTCTTAATATTTTTAAAGTCCAGAGGAAATATCTGAAAGGAGCAGCTTAATGCTTATTCATTACACTAGTGCAGTGAACAGATTCACTGATCACTGCACTGATCCATGTTCTTGAGCAAGGTAGCCATTCCTAAATGAACTTCAGGGGTCAGTGAGCTTTTTTTCCCCCTTACTCCTAAATATGCTGTATCAGCATGATTTTAAGTGGTTATAAACTTAACTATATAAAAAAAATCTAGGAGTACTTATATTTTGTTTTAATGTAATTCTATGGAGTTGAAGAACTTAACGTTTTGTTTACTTGGGGTTTACTTGGTCCGTGGTCTTGGCTCTATTGTTGTTTGATTAGTATTTTTTTAAACTATCCATAACATGAGTTCCTTCTATGCCCGCTTTCAATAGGCATTTGTGTTTTAAAAAGATACCTTTAGAAGGTATCTTTAGAAAGATACCTTTGTGCTTTAAATTTGCTTTTTCATTAATTCCTATTTAAGACAGCTGCAACAGTTAGTGAATTTTTTTAGACTGAGAAAGTGCAGTAATATTTTTAAACCAAGAGGCTTGATATTATTCTTTAGGAAAAATTTGTACATACCTGTACTAACTTAAGAATGTCAGCTTTCTAATTGGCCTATTTTACAGAGTTTTTAAAAGTAACTGTGCTTAATTGAAAATGAAATGTATAAAGATCAAAATATATTATGTGAAAAAATTGATTATTGATAAAAGTAATTTTGATAAAATTCTTGATAAAAGTAATTTTAAGAGGTAGATTTTACATATTTGTTACTATATAGATGCTGTCATTTCAATTTTCAGAAGCATGTGCAGTCTTTTTAACTGATGAAGAACAAGGCTTTGTCTTCCTGTAATTCTGAAGTGAAAGTTGAGTCACCATACAAGAAAAATAAATCCACTTAAAATATAGGCATTAGTAATAGAATGCTGAAACAAACTTCTGGATTAGCTTCATTGGCTTTCCTGCTTCTTTTGCATCCCAAAGCATAAGTTTAAATCATCTCAGAAGGACAAGATCCGCCAGTTTATGACATTTACCCAGGCTGGTGAAAAGACTGCTATATACTGTTTAATGCAGAATGAGTGGAAACTAGAAGTGGCAACTGACAACTACTTCCAGAATCCAGACTTGTACTACAAAGAATCCATGAAAAATTCAGTAGACAAAAAGAAGTTAGAACAATTGTATAACAGATATAAAGGTAAGAATGGCTTTTAAAACATTTGTATAAACGTTGCTAAAACTTTTAGCATCTCGTATTAAAAGGACATAATGTTTTTTAGGATATAATGTATGATACTATGTAAAACAATTCCATAAGGTGCCATTCCCGTTATTTCTTAACATTCAATTCACAAAACCTGATGTAATTAAGCAGACAACTACTGAAAAAGTTCATTCAAAGTAGAGGGATTCCCCCCCCCCCATGCTCAAGGCAGATGCAGCTGAAGGATAGATAAGGCATATTATCAGCATTGTCAACCACAAGAAGTTACATAGTACTTTAAGGTTTGCAGAGAGTTTTTTTATATTCTATCTCATTTGAGCTTCCCAACTTTGAATTGGTCTGTTGATTTACTTGTAAGGAAACAGCCATTATGATGGAATTTGAAATAAATTTTGTTCTAATTATGATTAATTATGGCAGTTTTTTTCTTCATTTCCTGTTAAAGATACTTTTTTTTTTTAATTCAAAGACCAAGTCACAAAATTAATTCGGAATGAAGGATGCAACATTGTTTCCAACTTATCTGTTAGAAGAGTTCTCAACATTAGTACTAGCTATTGTTTGAATCTTTGGACAAAGTCTTTGAAAAGAAGTATTTGAGATTGTAATCAGTCTGTGGTTGATTTTTTTTGCTTGCTTTTTTTTTAATAGTTTAAAAATCAGTCGATGTTTTAGAACAAAGTTTCCCAACCTGTAGCTTGAAAGATTTTATTATATTTTCACAAAAATAATCCATATAAATTGCCATATCTATCCTAAGGTTTATTGGTAGCATCTAAGACTAAAATATTGTTAAGTAAAATTCCTGTTTGTTTTTATTGCCATGGATTTCATTGGGGGGGGGGGTTTCTTAATATTTTATTTTAAATTCTAACAAAAATCATCTAACATGAAAAGTTCAGTATACACAGAATGAAAGAGAATTGTATATGAAATTGTAACCTGTTACATAGTTTTTAAAGTGCATCTTAAACATAGCAGTACAAAAATTGCCCTGTTTGTAGCCCGTTTTGAACTTTTTTTGCTTTCAGAGGTATATTTTTTCGTGTTTTACGTATGTTTCTTTTCTGTGTGTCTGTCACTGTCCACTAACTCCACAGATATCTTTCCACCCCCACCCCCCATAGAAGCACTCTCTTGTAACAGATTAATATAGGCAAGTGCAAAACAAATCAACACATTGATCAAACCTGAAAATGTATGTGTCAAGTTCCACTTGTCTTCCATTTCGTTTCTGCCAAGAGGAAGAAAGCATCCCTCATCATCAGACCTCTGAAGTCACGACTGGTTATTGAATCATTTCTAAAATCTTTCAAATTTGTTTTCCTTTACATTGTGATAATCATGTGAATTGTTCTCTTGCTTAACCTTGTATTTCCCAAACTAAAACAACTTTGTTTTAGATTGTTAGAACTAGCTTTTAGACAAGAGCAATTACTTTTCTTATTGATTATTACAGTTTTGCTTAGCTTTGGTGCATATGATTAAAAATACTGAGTATTGCTTGTATATAGCCTTTTTAAAAAATGCTTAGTTTAAAAACATTCTGGGATAGAATCATAGGTTTATATGTAATGAAGCTCTAAAAATAAAAAAAGTTTTAAATGCTTTTTGGAATTACTTTTACATAATTATTGAACTGACTTTTTAAAGGCTAATTGATATAACTTTCAAATATTTTTCAATAAGTACAAATAACAAGTCTTTGTATTTTAATAGCAGTTTAATTTAAACTCCCTTCCCTCTCCTTTAAATATTCTTAAACCACAAGACACTATAAATCCAAGTGTATATATTCACAAATATCGGGTTTATACTTAAAAAATTTCAAAAACATAATTAGGTAGAAATGTCACTGCAATTAAGCCACTTTAAAGTTTCATCATATATTGTTAGTCACCATTTTTCTAAAATTATTTCATTGATTGGGTAGCATGTTGGCCCAATTTTTCCATTACTCTAAAGATATGCAAAGTTAGATATGGTGTTTTGTGAGGTCAGGGCATCATTATAGTGATTTCACATATGTTTCTAGGTGTATACTCTGTGTGTGTGGGGGGGCTTACGTTTGGCTCATCTTGGATAGTTGTATTTACATGCCCTTCTACAAATAGAAGATTGAAGTTGTAGGAAATTGTAATACAATAATTAAGTTTGTGCCATTAGCAATAATATAGGTATAATAACTAAGTAAACTGGAATATAGTTAAATGACCAAAATAAAATTTTGCCTTTAAAAAAAACAACACCTACCCCCCTTACAACACAACAAATCTACACATAAGGCTATTTATTAGCCTCTGCTGAATTGTCATTAGATACAAATGTTGCCAAGAATTTTTACTCTGTATATATATAGTGTTTGTGTTTGATGGCACAGGTTTTGTCTTGACCCTGAACAATTGATATGAATTTCTATCATTTTTTCTCCCAACTTTAGTTCCTACTACTAGCAAAAATATAAACTTGTATTATAGTATCAGATTATATTATAAATAATATATTTCATAAAGATATTAAACCTAATTTGGTTTAGTCATGCCAAACTGCTTTCACTGATATTGTATGATAGTTACTACACAATATTATTTCTAATTAAAGCCCAGAAAATCCAACTCATTTTTAGTTCTCATACAATGAATAAACTAATTTTTCATTTTATTTCCAAATTAGATATAAGAAAAAATTATCTGAACTATTAAGCTGAGACCTATAAAAAAAAAGTTAAATGAAGAATGTATTTGATGTAGTGGCATTTGAATGAAGTTTTCTTAGTCAATGTTATAGAAATAATAATTAGTGTGTTATTATATACCTGAATTATGCTTTGTTAGTAATGGTTATGTCCGACTGACACAGTAGCTCTTTTGTCACCTTTGCTATTTTTGTCTTATTCTATAGAAGTTAATTTGTTTTATTTCCCTCTTTTGTTCTTCAAAGCAAGTGTAATACTTTTAAAAAAGATTTTACTCATCTAGACCAGTAGTTACTATTTTATTAAGTAAAAGCTGTTTTTTGACTTACCATCATTGTGAGGTTCGTTGTTTCCTGTATGTGACAAACTGGCTATAGCTATGCGGTTCAAAGCACTGTTACACTTTTTATTCTTTTATGGTAACAGAGTTTATGATGATATAATTCTTCTGTTTTGCAATTTTAAATACAGATCCACAAGATGAAAATAAAATTGGCATTGACGGAATTCAGCAGTTTTGTGATGATTTAGGCCTAGATCCTGCCCATATCAGTGTTCTTGTCATAGCATGGAAATTTAAGGCAGCCACTCAATGTGAATTCAGTAAAAAGGAATTTATGGATGGCATGACAGAGCTTGGGTGAGTAAATGGATGACCTCTACAATGCAGAATTGCTGTCTTCTTTTGCTTATCTTTTCCTAATATACCTTCACTATTCTTTTTTTTTTTTTTGATGATGCCCATGGACATCAAGTTCTTATATCATTTCTGTGGGTCCCTTTGTGTCTTCCTCTATCTATCAATCTCTTTTAAGTGACTTAATTGGTTTCCCTTTCATTTCTACCAGAATGATTTGTACATGTCAGTTTTGGGGTTTTTTTTGGTCTGAACTTGTGACGTCATTGGTATAGGGAACTCCTGGTAAAGAGAAATTTCCTCTTCCAGTGAACATTAGGACTTTTATGGTTTTAGGGTTACCTGGGGAGAGGTTAAGTGACTTCCAAGGTCATAGCCAGTGCACAATGGCAGAGGCTAGACTGATGCTAGCTAGGTCTTGCAGACTGAGACCAGCTTTCTAGCTATTAGATTATGCTAATAATATGAATTAATATGCTAATAATATGAATAATCGTTGATATTTATGTATTGTTTTCTAAAGTTTACAGAGTAAAATTCAGATGAGGGGCAGCTAAATGACTCAGTGGATAGAGCACTGGCCCTGGCATCAGGAGAACCTGAGTTCAAATGCAGCCTCAGACACTTAGTGGCTTTGTGACCCTGAGCAAGTCACTTAACCCCAGTTGCTTCCAAAAAAAGAAAGGAAGATAGAAATTGAAATGAGAATCTCACTATAACCATGGAAGATAGAGACTGTGAATACCTGTAAGTTTCCTTTTATATATGAGGAAACCTAAATTCAGAGAAGTGATTTTCCTGTGGTCACATAGCTTGTAAGAGTTAAAAATGAGGTTGAAACCCAGTTCTCTCCTGAATCCTTTTCACCAAACCAATGCAGCTTTTTGTTCAGATTAGCCCTTCTTTACTCCTTAAGTCACTTATTCACATCTACTTTTTTCTCCTCCTAATTTTGAATCCTTACAACCAACATTGTAGAGTACTTTTTTCTTCTACTATTCACTATTATTTTACTTTATTAAAATTATATTATTTTACATTAAGATAAAATTTACAAAAATACATTTCACTAATCTGTTAACTAGAATGGTACTTTGTACCATTGAATTACAGTCCTTTAAGTGTCCCTTAATACTTCAAAGTTATAAAGATGGGGACAGGGATTGCTTTCATTTAATATTTAAGATTTTCTTATGTTATTGTACAGATTTTTATATACTAATGAAAATAGGTGAATTATATAACTATCTTGTATTTCATTTGGCAATGGAAATGCTAACCTGTTTGATTATAAGTTTTGACCATCTTACAGGAAAAAATACTGTTTTGGGAGAATTGGTTTGAAATCCTTGAACTAGGCAACAGAAGGAAGCTTTATAACTTTGGAAATAAAAGAATCCTTGAAACAGAGGGAAAGCATAAATATTTGGAATGTGACACTTCAGTTCTGTAATATGCCATGTTCTTGGTGGATGCTTAAGAAATATTAGTTATTATAATGGGACACTTACTATACTTTTTCAAGTTTGTATATCTCAATAACATACAAATGAAAAATATTTAGGTACAGAGCAAAAGAGGCCTATTAGAGAACTATCTTATTATTAGTTTCTGATCTGTTCATCCCAACAGTGATTTGTAATCATAATGATACTTTTTAGAAACAATTTTTATTGTTATTTTTAGTTTGCTGTTGTGGAAAGCTCTCCCTGAAGCTACTATTAGAAAGGTAATTGTTAGACTTTATTCAGGAATGAAGTGTTTCCGTATAAGGTGATTCTTCAGATAATGGACCTTTAACCATTTAAGTATCAATAGTCTGCTCTATCCATTTGGGGTGAAAAGCTTACTAAATTGCCTGACATGTTTCCCAGCCTTTTGGGATTACATGCTGAACAGAATTTAACCTTTTCTTGATAGCTTATTTCATTCATTAAGAACTTCAATTGTTATGCTGTACTATCAGGAGCTGATGCCCTTGGGACCTAATGAGTTGTATAGGTGTTGTTTGCCCCACTTTTTATATGCTGTTTCTATTCTTTTATGGTCTGAGAAAGCAATTGACGAAGGTTTTTTAGGATTGTTTATGTAACAAAAATAAGTAGGCACTAAGGGAAGCCATGAGGCTCTGAATAGACTTTAGTATGTGCTTGGCACATACATAAGGAGTGCTTAATAAAATGCTTTTTCATTCATTTGTGCATTTTGTAACAGCAGTGCCATTCCTCAAAGACTTCTTAAAAGTTCTTTCTCATTTTTAAAAACTATTTTCCAGTTAATTGAGGTTGCTGAAAAAAATGTGAGATGTGACAATTTTCTTTTCTTTGTTATACATTTAAAAAACTCAAGTTTTATTATACTTCACTATGGTTTCTGCTTAAAGGTCCTTAAATATCTCATTGGGAAGAAGATAAATTATATTTTATCAGTAATTTTATTGAATGTAACTTTTGGAGCCAAACTGAGTACTAATACAATACTATTAATAAATGTGTTTTGTAAAACTTTTCTATTAAAAATAGTATTCACTGGTTAACTTTTTTACAATAGGTGTGATACTACAGAAAAATTAAAAGCTATTTTACCAAGAATAGAACAAGAGCTAAAGGATGCAATAAAATTCAAAGATTTTTATCAGTTTACCTTTAACTTTGCTAAGAACCCTGGACAAAAAGGTTTAGGTGAGTATAATAAATGCCAAATGTATAATGCTATGTCAGATTTCCAGTGGTGTTATAGTGGGCATGATCAATGTACCTTCAGTATTGCTGATAGTAATACTAGAAACTTCTCTGAGTTTTTATCTTTTTCTTTAAGATGTTACTCGATAGACTAGGCTGGGATAGTATGTATTTTGACAAGTGTATTAATGATATCTTTTGACTTTTCAGGTATTCTCAGAGATTTTGGAGAACTTTGAACAAATTTTGTTGTGTAAAATACTTTTTGATATACATAAACTTAAGATGTCTCTATATCCCTGCATGACAACACCGTAGTATGTTGATATTGACTACATCCAATGTGTTAAGGAGGTAGTACTTGATGCTTAATATCTATCTAGTGTTTAAAACAGATTTTCCTCCTTTTTATAGTGTCAGTTCTTAGCTACTTTTGGCTAGTACTGGTAGATTAACTAAACTCTGTAACTTTAATATTGACAGTAAGAGCAGCATGTTAAAATCTTGTCCAGTGTGAATGCAATGCATCAGCCTAAGTCTAAATCAATTTGAGTGTTTCCATGTTTTTGTGGAGTTGCCTTAGTAGTCCAAATAGCTTTAAGAATATGAATGACATTATTTATTGAAGAATTGACATTTTTAAGAGTTTTTTTTTCTTTTCTAGGCAATAGGACAGTTTAGCATATCTTTAAATGTCTAGCAACCCACATTGACCCACAACTTAAGCTAAAATTACAGTGATTTTTTTGTTTGTCTCAATAAGGTCTTACTTACAAACCTGAAAGTATTTTATGGTTTGTTAGAGAGTATAATAAGAAACTTAGAAAAAGTGTTTTGAATTCATAAATATTTCTAAACTTCTAAGATGCTGATAAAACTTGAGGAAATAAGACAGTGGTTTGAAAATTGAAGAGAATATAGCCTACCATACAGACAATCCTAGACTCTCCATCTCCCCTACCTACAATTTTCACCACATATGTTCTGCTTTTGCATTGGAATCAAGTAGAGCTATAAATATGTTAGGGTGTTTTTAATGCCTTACAATTAAAGAAGTGTAGAATTGCCTGTTATCTAACTACTTCAAAGGTGATTTTCAGTTTTCTTCCTTCTCTCGTTCTTGTTTCTCACCCATGTATTTTGGAATTGCTCTTTTGGTTTTTAATTGTTCATGTTCTTGAACTGCAGTGAGTCTGTTGTCAGCGTTCCCGTTTCCTTTAGGCTGCTCCGTCACATCCCAAAGAGCTTTTTTTACCCTGCATGCCACTGCCTTGCAGATCTCGTGCCTGACACGTCAGGAGCACAGCCAGGCCTCAGCAAGAGGGTCCTTTAAAGGAAACCACTTGAGTCGATCCACTTAAAACATGAAAAGCTGGAAGTATCGTTGACTCCTGTGGGAGGACAATTGGGGAAGTATGGATGTCTTTTTCCCTAACCAGGGAAAGCGGGTGAGCAAAGCTGAGAGTCATGTGAATTATGTTAAAGTACAGCAGCTAGAGCTCTAAAAGCAAGGGGTCTTGCAGATTTCATATTTATTAAAATTTTAACAGCACGATATTCTTCTTCATTAGAATTCTTGAAAGCCAGCTGAGGTCACATAAACAAATTCATGGGACCCCTAAGGGAAGAAGATTATGGCTTATTTTCTTTATGAAGAAGATTATAAATTTTTTACTTGGCTTGACTTCAAAGGATGACTTGATTATTTTAACATGAATCTTCAGAAACAAAGGGGAGTAACAGCTCACCGTCAGTACTGGAAAGACTGCTGTTCTTTGAAAATAAGAAGAAAAAACTGGAGTCAGACTGGGTTTCCCTCCCCTCTTTTGTGTCTGCCTCAGCTAAGTTAAAATTTAGGTGAAGAAAAGATTTGAATGCTAGCCTTCCTGACCATGGATATATCTGCAGGTGTCTCCCTAGCCTAACAGCCAGATAATATATATAAGGAACATCAGCATATCACCCGGAGAGGGATAAAAAGACTACAATAAGTGCATATTTTAGAAAATGTTAGAGGAGGCAATAAAGGTGGCTGTAAAGAAGAGGACTGCAAAAACTGACAACTGGACCCTTGTTGGATTGAGTTCTTGTAATGTCTGTATATGCGGAATAATTTGGCTTATAGGAATTTTTCATTCCTATGGAGATGCTTTGAAACATTGAATAATATATTTGTTTTAAAATATTTCTTGTAATAACATATTTGTATGGAAGAACAGAAGCATTACATTAACCTCCCCCAGTATCCTGGTAGCCGGTTGCTGGTATCTCTGTCCCTGCTTTAGAACTGTCATCCCGTTCTTCCTTCAGGAATCTTAATACTGCCCTCCCCTTCCCCTATCTTCCTCTCTCTCCCTTTAATGTTCTTTTTTGACACTATGATACCCACTTTTTTATGTGTACTTGGCCCAGAGGTCATTTATTATACTTAACCCAGATGTAGAATATAATGTCCTATTTTCCTATCAAATTGTTAAGTACTCTATTGGTCCACCCCAAATTTTAAGCTGCACCCCTAAAATGAGATCTCTTGGAAAGAGAAAAGCGTATATTTCAGCATACGCTAGAAAATGAAGACATTTCATCCTGATATGATAATATGCATTTGTATTTTTAAGCAACTCTCTGTAGATTAGTTGCCTCTATGAAAAATAGGGGCCTGTGATTATATTTGTACAGTAGAAAGAGTGTTGAATTGGGAATCAGAGAACCTGGATTCAAATTCCCAATTCCAGCACTTACTATCTCTACAACTTTGGGCATGTCACTTAACCTCCCTGTGTCTCAGTTTCCTCATCTTTAAAATGAGGTAGTTATATTAACTCTTTTTTTAATGTTCCTTCCAGTTCCAAATCTATACTTATGAACAACTCTTAGTGCCATAGATAAGTGATGTCACACTCAAATGGAAGTGAATTCCTAAGGGGAATATATTGACTTAGAAAACCACAAATTAACATTGTATTATATTGTATTTTCCTTTATTCTTGACACTTCACTCTGGTTCAGGTTACTCCAGAGTTTTGCTGGCATCTGACACCTCTTCTATAGATGATGCTTCCCTGAAGCTCCACGGTTGCTCACCTTAGGTGGGGAGGGGCTATATTCTCCAGTTTGGGTTGTTTATTTTTCTGTAGCAGGGTAAGCAACTAAGTCTTTATTTATTCCTTCATGAGGTTATAAAATTTATTCTGTTAAAGCTGTCCTTCCTGATAATTAAAAGAAAAGGCAGGTGGAGTGTTTTATTTTCATTTTCCTCTTCCCCCCCCTCCCCAAAATCATACCTTTTATAACACCAACCACCAGTTTGAGGGTTGGCCTTAGTTTTTTTTAAACTCGTAATATTCCTTGCTTTCTTTTCTTCTTGATTGACCCTTTTCTGCCAAAAAATCTTATTTCTAAGTCTGTGGATGGTAGATTTGCTTGGCAAGGCTGTTCTGGTAACTTAATCTATTGAAATCTGCTTTCTAAACTTTTATTTCTAGGTCTTAGGAGCAAGTGTTCCTGTCAGATACTTTTCTACTATCTTGCTTCCCTTTCTCTACTCCGTATTCTTCCCCTCATCTTACCATGTCTTGTGACTTTCCTGGTTTATTGTACCTCACTTGACAGTTGCTTGTCTTACCAAGACTTACTGGCCATGGCCTTGGGGAAGCAATGTTTCTATTCACTTGCATCCTTCAATAAAAGAGCTTTTTCCTTATGCAGCCTCCAAAGTTAGCTGCTTCTGGACTTCAGACCTTACTTCTCCCTGTATATTTTTATGCTCCAACCTGGAAATTCTATTTCTTCTTTTTCCCATCTGTCCCTCTTGCCCTCCCTTCTTGTCTTACATTCATCCTTTCTATCCTATCAAAGATTGTAGCAGATGATTGCACTTGGGCAGTGGGGGGTTTATATGTGAAATTGCTTCTTCCATTTCATGATTTCAACTTACATTGGACCCTATGAGCCTTAACAATAAAGATTGGTTTCTGTTACCCTCTGCCTGAGTCTGGCATCTCCCAAACTTCTTTTACAAGGTCTCTTCCTGCTTGGGTTCTGACCCTCTATTACTGGATGGCCTTTCTATAGGATAGCTCTTATTGGCTGAATTGAAAGGACAGTCTCCTTTGAGTCCATACAGCACTGCACCCCTACTTTCAGTTACTGGCAGTGATCGCTGCCCTATGTTAAGTTACTGCTCATGTCTCAAACCCTTCCCTTACTTCTTCCTTCTAGACAATAGTCCAGTCCAGAATTGCGATTAAATAATTTAAAAACTCAAATAAGTGCATAGTAACAGAATAGGGAAAATGGTCCGGCATGGTAGCCCTCATTTTCACAGCTGAGAGAGCAGGCCCAGATAGGTTGTAATTTGACACTATAACTAATTAGTACTAAACTGGATGTTAGAACCCTGGTTCCCATAGGCCTAGAGTCAACCACTCTTCATTATACTGCCATACTGCCTCTCATCAGCTGTACTATAACCCTACAAAGATACTTTATTTCATTGAGGGTACTTCCTCAGCCAATATAGATCACACAACTTAGTATATCGTCTGTTTCCTTCTCTGCAAAGGAAATAAATTGGACTTGATGACTTCTGGGGGTCTTTCTAGACCTAAATCTATGGTCCTGTGCTTTGTATAGATGGGGAAAAATCCTCTTCTGGTAGTCAACCTTTTGGTGAGGAATCTCTCAGATTTTAGCTAGGTTGCTAGTGACAGATGCACAGTTTATTATGAGATCTACTTTGTTCTTCATGGGTAGAATCTTCAGAGTTTCTGATCCATTGGCATAATTCTTAAGAACTCAAGATTATCATCACACTGTGATAAGGTAACCAAATAGGACTTTAATGGAAATTTTTCAGTCGCATTCCAGAAATATGCCCTTGATTGAGGTTTAGGTCTCAACCTTGCCCCCTGCCTGCTAGTTCTTCTTAGGGCTGCCCTCAGAAAGTTGAGCTATGGGGGCTGCGGCCGTCAATTGTGGGCACAAAATGGGGCCTGGGTCCTATTCCTCTTTCATTCCTTCATTCAGTTGGGTTCCTCTTATTAATAGCGGGAAGCATAGGTTTAGAGCTCGAAGGGACCTTAAGTATCATACATAGGTAGAACTGCAGCTCATCGAGTCCAAAAGTTACTTCTGTAGGGGAATTGCCGTAGTATGTTTTATCAGAGCCTCTTGAATGGCATAAATTGTATGCATTTAATAACTGAAAACTCTAGTAAATCTGTTAGTTTCATGTTCCGGTAAACTTTTGGAAATTTAACAATATGAAATATTCGTAAGTTAGCACTTTGTTTAACAATATGTTAAGTATAAGTGTATGCACAACACTGGTGCTAGGTGCTTGGGGGGGAAGTAGGAAAAAATAGTGCAATCTTGATGAGTAACTGAAAATATTAAGCTATTATTTTGTGATCTTCTGGCATTGTAAGTAATCTTATTATGTACAAAGCACTGTAATCCTCATAATATAAAATTTCATCCCAAATATAGACCCTACTTTAGAGCTTAGAATTTGCTGATTACACAAATGGGTCAGATATGGATTGTGATACAGACTTTTTTTTAATTTTTTTTTTTTTGTAATTGGGGTTAAGTGACTTGCCCAGGGTCACACAGCTAGTAAGGGTCAAGTGTTTGGTCTGAGACCAGATTTGAACTCAGGTCCTCCTGACTTCAGGGCTGGTGCTCTATCCACTGCACCACCTAGCTGCCCCTATGATACAGACTTTTTGTCTGTTTTGGTTCCAGCTTAGTTTTAGAAAAAGGAAATATAAGATCAATGGGTCTGCAACTTCTTAAACCCAAACCCTTGGATGTCCTTAGTAAGCCTGAGGTTTACAAAGGCAAGGAAGGAAGAATGGGAGTAGGAAAGTGAAAGAGAATGGAGAAGAGAAAATTAAAAAGAGCTGCATATAATGGAAAAGTTGATTGATATCAGTCTTTGTGAAACTGTGATTGTGGAGAGAAGGGCAGTAATATTGAAGGGGAAAAACATTTTAATGCAGTTTTGTCCAATAATAACAGCACCAAGATACAGAGTTATGTGGATTAAAAGGCTATATTTTACCCTTGAACTTCTTTATTTTTGTTTTGTCAGACTTTCAGCAATATTTCACTATGATTTTGCTAGTTTGATTTTATGTGTTCCATATTTAGCAAATTTCTGAATTTCATACAAAGATAAATGTTTAGTATTGATGCCTAGGGGAAGACAAAATTTTGTCTTTTCTTCTTCATGAACATTCTTAAGAAAATTTGGTCTTAAAAATTATTTGTAAATTGACAAGGATGGTAATGATTATGTGAAATTGGGATATTTTTTAGTTAAAGGATGTTGTGTTAAATCTTCTATTTACAAGTGCCCTTTAAACCATTTTGTAATGCTAGCACACACAAAAAAATTACATAAATTCAAAGTAAAAGCTAGTACATTATTTTTAGAATAGTATTGAAGATTTCATTTAAAATAAAATATATAATATAATATAATATAATGATTCATTAGTTTACTGTAGTTTTATGTGGAACATTGTTTAATTGCAAAATGACCACAAAGTAAAGTTTGATTTAGAAGTAGCTTCCTTTATGGAAAAGCTCATTTATATGCCTTAGAGTTCTAACATAAATGTTTCATTTCTTTCAAGTAATTTCTGTGACAGCTTTCATTGGTTCATTGCCTAACATTACTCGAAATAAAGGGACATAATAAATTTGGTTAGTATTCTCTACTTTATTTCTTGATAATCTTAGATATTTGCAAAGGCCTGACTATTCCATTCCAATCCTATGAGAGTTAATGATTTTCTTAGTGATAGTGGTTAGATGGAAAAGTCATTTGTAGCCTTAATATTAATGTCATTATTAAACTACATGATGAGCTGATAAATGAGTACAAAACCTAGAATTCTGTTGAAATTCTTCAAATAGGTATGTGGATTCACTACCTTTTTTTCCCCCCAAAATATTATTTTATTCCATTGCCAGCAGATGAAACAGTGATACGAATCAGGAAACTAAATGAGCTCCACTGAGATTAGCCTACTGTTAGTGATAAAACTTCTGCCAGTTAAACTATCATTCTAGGTAAGAAAATAGTTTATAGACTGAAAATGACTTTGGAATGCTTTCTTTTGTCCTATAATTAAACTATCATTTGGTTGTTATGAATCATCCTTTTTATTACTATATTCTAGTCTTCAAAATCCTGTTTGTAGCCTACCAGAAGCTTTAAATGCATTCTGTCTTATTAGACAGAAAGTATTAGTGATTGCTAGTTAGATCATGGCTAATAAGAATCATTTCTCTTCCGTCATAACACATATGGATTTTATGCAGTCAACTCTTAGTCGTCTATCACGTTGTGACTTATGTGGAAAGAAAAAAGAAATGTTAAGGTCTGCTCAAGGAAGGCATTGTTCAGAAAAAAAAAAGTTGACACATTTTCTGACAGTTAATAAAAGAATTAAATTTCCTCAAATACATTTGAGGATACATTCAATATGCTCAAATACGTTCCTCAAATACGTTTGATTAAAAAGAAAAAACAATCTTTCAGTCAGAATGCCTAAGATACTTATTTTCTTTATTAAAGAAAAACTCACAATGTCTTTATACAGTAAATTAATACCTTGCTAAAGAGAATTCCGTTCAATTCAACAAACATTTATTACGTACTTACTGTATGCCTGGTACTGAACTAACTGTTGGGGACTCCAAGATAAAACAATTATTAAGTTTGTCATTTGAATAAAGGAGCAAAAGGATAATAACTAATAAAGTGCAATGTCCTTTTAAAATAATTGTCCTTTGATATTTTTGAAGTGTTTTTTTAAACAATATCCAGGATTATAGACTTAAAACTGAATATGACCTTAGAGATCTTTCAGTCCAATTTCCTTATTTTATGAATGAGGAAACTGAGACTGAAAGAAGTGACCTGACTTGCTTGAAATCACACAACTCAGAAGTACCAGAACCAGAATTTGAATCTAGTTTCTTTTTTTCTGAATTATTCTCCATGCTTTCACCAGCATGTCCATATAGAAGATTTTTTTCCTAAGACATTAAAAGAGTCATTATTATATGATTGCCAAAAAAAAAAAAAGATGCGTACATATGATATATATAACTGCCCAGAAACATTATTTAGAATACCATCTTTTGAAAAATTAAGTAAAGGAATACAATCATGGATGGAAAAATATTATAATGTAAAAGTTCTTATCCTGGGATCTATGAACTTGTTTTACATTTTTTGTAACTGTATTTCAATATTACTGTTTTCCTTTGTAATTCTGTGTATTTTTTTATGCACTTGAAAATTTTATTTTTGAGAAAGATCTCTGGGCTTCACCAGACTGCCAGAGGGGTCCATGATATAAAAAAAATTCAAAGAACCTCTCCTATCATAATTGATGTTAAAAGGACCTAATATCTCTTTCTAAAAATGTGAAAAAAGTGTGGACAATAGAAAAAAATGACCACCATAATACTTTGTACATTTATTACCTGCTTCCTCATTTTCTCCTTAAGTTTACCTGTGGTCCAATATTTTATATTTTTTGTCTGTACATGATTGTGTGTGAACTGAATAAAATTATTTAAACAAGTTAAGCTCCTATTTGTTTAATTTTGTAAGCATCTTAGCCTGAAATGAATATATTTTGAGAAAACCAGGAGTGAAATATGATGGAATTTTGATCATAACAACTGCTGTTGTCACTATGCTAAGATAATATTTTGAAGATGAGCACTTTATCTTCTCTTTTCCTGAACTATAACATAACTAACACAAAGCTAATAGACCAGCAGAGTATTTTAAAGGATCTTTTCCTATCTTCTGTTGGTTTAATGCTCTCTGTAATCTTTAGATGTAGCTGCTTCAAACATCCATTTTATCCTATGAATCCCATGGTTTACTGAATTATGATATGGTTTATTGTTCCTTTTCATTTTCCTATCTCATCTTCCTTCATTTTGT